CGGGATAATTCCGTCCGCGTTGTCTCCAAGGGTAGGAGGCAATATTTCGCTGTGCATGGGAAGACGGGACATTTAGTGACGGCGCAAAGAATCGACAGAGAGCAGCTGTGCGAGCGCGTGCAACAATGCGTGCTGCGCTGTGAGCTGATAGTGGAGGGGGAAATGAAGTTCTATGAAATAGAAGTGGAAATCACAGACATTAATGATAACGCGCCCAGCTTCAGAGAGATGGAAAAAGAATTAAGAGTGAGCGAGATGGCAGCCCCGGGGTCGCGATTTCCTCTTCGAGAAGCACAAGACCCAGATTCGGGCCGGAATTCCCTGCAGGGCTACGAGCTGAGCGGCGACAAGCACTTCTCGCTGGCCGTGCAGGCGGGCCCCGGCGGCGATCAGCGTCCCGAGCTGGTGCTGGCCAAGGCGCTGGACCGGGAGGAGGCGGCGTTTCACGAGCTGGTGCTGAGGGCGAGCGACGGCGGCGATCCGGCACGGACGGGCACGGCTCGGATCCGCGTGACCGTGGTGGACGCGAACGACAACGCGCCCGTGTTCAGCCAGGCGGAGTACACGGTGCGTGTGCCCGAGGACGTGCCCGTGGACTCTGTCCTCGTCACTGTCACGGCCACGGACGCCGACGAGGGTCTGAACGGACAGGTGAAATACAGTTTCCATAAAATTTCAGATCGTGCTTCAGAACTTTTTAATCTCCACTCTGAGACAGGAGAAATAACTGTTAGAGACGACTTGGATTTCGAGGAAATCGCCTCTCACGAACTTGAAGTTCAAGCACATGATGGAGGAGAGCTTTTTGACACGGCGAAAGTTACTATCACAGTGACAGACGTCAATGACAATGCACCCGAGATTTCCGTGCAATCAGCACTGAGCGAGATTTCTGAAGATTCCCCGACGGGGACCGTGGTGGTCCTTTTGCATGTCCAGGATCTGGACTCCGGGCCTAACGGCGATGTGCGCTGCTCGCTGGATGGGGATGTCCCATTCCGGCTGGAGAGCTCTCACGGCAGCTACTACAGCGTGGTGACAGCGAGAGAGCTGGACCGGGAGCAGGTGCCGGAGTACAACGTGACGGTGCGGGCGGCCGACGGCGGGTCGCCGGCGCTGCAGAGCAGCGCGGTGCTGGCGCTGCGGGTGCTGGACGTGAACGACAACGCGCCGGTGTTCGCGGAGGAGCGCTACAGCGCGCGGCTGGCGGAGAACAACGCGGCGGGCGCGCTGGTGCTGACGGTGCGCGCCACGGACGCGGACTGGGGGCAGAACGCGCGCGTGCGCTACCGGCTGGCGGAGGGGCGGGTGCGGGGCGCGCCGCTGTCGTCGTACGCGTCGGTGCAGGCGGAGACGGGCGCGCTGTACGCGCTGCGCTCCTTCGACTACGAGCAGCTGCGCGAGCTGCAGCTGTGGGTGCGGGCGGAGGACGGCGGCGCGCCGGCGCTGAGCAGCAACGTGTCGGTGCGGCTGCTGATCGTGGACGAGAACGACAACGCGCCGCAGGTGCTGTACCCGCCGCCGGGCGCAGCGGCGGGCTCGGGCGCGGCGTGGTCGGGCGTGGAGCTGGCGCCGCGCTGGTCGGAGGCCGGCGCGCTGGTGGCCAAGGTGGTGGCGGTGGACGCGGACGCGGGGCAGAACGCGTGGCTGTCCTACGAGCTGGCCAAGGCCACGGAGCCGGGGCTGTTCCGCGTGGGGCTGCACAGCGGCGAGGTGCGCACGGCGCGCTCGCCGCTGGCCCGCGACGCGGCGCGCCAGAGCCTGGTGGTGCTGGTCAAGGACCACGGGCGGCCGGCGCTCTCGGCCACGGCCACGCTGAGCGTGGTGCTGGCCGAGAGCGTGGCCGAGCTGCTGGCCGAGCTGGGCAGCGCGGCCGACGAGGCGGCGGCGCCGGGCGAGCCGGCCGCCAGCCTGACGCGCTGGCTCGTGCTGGCCGTGGCCGCCGTGTCGTGCCTCTTCGTGGCCTTCCTGCTGCTGCTGCTGGCGCTGCGCCTGCGCCGCTGGCACCGCCAGCAGCTGCTGCCGGCCGACAGCGGCGCCTTGCGCGGCGTGCCCGTGTCGCACTTCGTGGGCATCGACGGCGTGCGCGCCTTCCTGCAGTCCTACTCGCACGACGTGTCGCTCACGGCCGACTCGCGCAAGAGCCAGCTGCGCTTCTCGGCCGCCAGCTGCTGCGACACCCTCCCGGCCCGGCCGCCGCCCGACGAGCCCGCGCCCCTGCTCGGGGACGAGGACCCGGCCGCCGCCCTGCCCGCGTCTTCTGCCCCTCCCTCGGTGAGTTTCTCGCTCCAGATTCTCTCCGCGACGCTTTCTTTTGATGCTCCCCTGCCCTTTCCCCGCCGTGTTCTCTGTCTTGCATAGGAGATTTTCCTTAAAGCATAGTAAATTTTTTTCGATGAAATTCTGAAGGCTGTTGCACTTTGCTGTTGTTATGTGAACATGGAATGTGTCCTCAGCCTTCCTTTTAGTGAAGAAAAAAGCAGGGAAAAGGCTGCTGCTGGCAAGCTCTTTTTTAGATCAGAAGTTTTGGTATTGATCAGGTTGCAGGTATTGTTCCCCTATGTCAGCTGTGCTTTTTAGAAACTGAGTTTCTCTTAGTATTAGATCTCCTAAAGGGATGGATCGCATTATTAAGAAATACAGCTTTTTAGGAGGCTCATGTGTTTTCCCAAGAGCACATGTGCTTGACTAGGTTGAATGTGTCTTGAACAAAATGCTGAAGACTTTCTGTGGAATCTCTCTGCCCATCGTTTTCATTGTTTATCACTGTCCATGAGACATAGTGGAGGTCAGCAGGAAGTATTTGTGTCATCCATACTTTGATCTTTGTCCCACGATGAGGACTTGACCAGGCAACAAGCAGTCCTTGATCATGTCTGTCTGCCTGTTATGAGGATGAAGGATCCTCTCGAAGTTGTGCCACTTTGAAAAGCCTGTGGGGGGCAGCGTGTGGAGTCAACCTGACCCTGAATATTTCATTTAAGAGCTAGAACTTCACAAATGAATGTTTCCCCAAGGTGTTGTTTTCTCTGTGGCCAACATGGAACTAAAATTTTGGTATGTGTTGATGGTGAAACTGCAGGCTGTGAATGCAGAGTGAGGAGGGTGAGAGCTCAGTTCTGTGCCAGGAAAGTCATTCAAGCTGTTGGGTTTGGGCAGAGAAATGGTTTGATTTCATGCTTGGTGCCAAAGGCAGTGCCATTGCTGTTCTGATCCTGGTTTCTCTGTCATGAATGAAAACGACAGTCCTCCCACAGTAACATTTTCCATAGTAAGTGTTTGTGTACGACCTCAATTCTTGTCTAGAACAGCCAATAAATTCTCTGTGAAATCTCCATTATCCATCTGTATCTCTGTGCAACACTGTGATACAGAGCTCCTTCAGAGTTGTAATTACGCTTTCTTTCCGGCATTTGTTTCCAGGGAGGTTGCAGCTCATTTTCTCAATTCTGTTCAGTACTTTTAAATAGGAAACATGGACTGGTGTTTTTCAGCACATCATTACTGCAGCTTTCTAGGAGAAAAATGTGCATGTGGGGAATATGAAGCAGAAGTGATAAGGGAATCTGTTGCAATTTGTCAGATTTACCTTGAGAAAGAGGCTGATGAGAAGCTGTTTGAAATGATGGTTTCATAACTGTGCAAGGTGAGCAGGCCGTGCAGTAGAAATTGTTGCTGAGTCGAGGACTATTCTCCAAATGAACCCCCTATCCTGCTGTGCTGTCTAAGTCTTTGTCCTGGATTAGGGCAAATCTGGGAGAAAACCTCCAAAGGGGGCCCCCCCAGAAAGCAAACCCACATGGCCCCTCACTCCTACCAGTTCGGGAAGGATTCCTCGGAGAGAAGTGGAAAGAACCTGTTTATTTGACAGGCAAAACACCCCCAGCACACAAAATGAACAATACCAGATGACAACACTTTCACTGATCTGAAAAGGATGACAAATTCAGAAAGTCCTTCCCGGGGATGATCGCTCTGCTGTCGCTCCCCCTGGCGCTGGGGATGGCTGCTGCAGCCACAAGATGTAAACTCTCGGTGTTTCCCAGGTCCCAGTCCAGAGCAGGTTTGAATGGTTCCAAAAAGGGAAAGGAAAAAACCAGACCAGGGAAAAATGTGGACTGCTTAGCTGAACTAACTAACAAGCAGAAGCAAAAAGCAAATGCAAAGCAGGAGCACAGCAAGAAGCAAGAGCATAGCAAAAAGCAAATCCCAAAAAATCAAAAACTGCACTGTGTACTGCCCCATCTCTGTCCCTCCAGCCTTGAGAGAACAGGCTGATAACAAACCAAAACAAACCTTGCTCTTCAGAGCCAGTCTTGAAGGCACAGAACAAAATATCCAGCATTAACAGAACGCACGACTGGGGATACAAGCATCATAACCTCACCCTGGGAAATTCTTCAGCAATCCTGCAAACTCCAAAACATATAATTGTCCAGGAGGGAGAGCATCTCTCATCCATCCCTTGAAGCTGTACATGTAATCACATTATCCTAGAAACACAGAGTCATAGAATGGTTTGTGTTGCAAAGCACCTTAAAGATCCTCTTGTTCCAGCTCCTCTGCCATGGGCAGGGACATCTTCCACCAGAGCAGGTTGCTCAGAGCCCCAGTCAACCTGACCCTGAATATTTCATTCAAGAAATACAACTTCATGAATAAATGTTTCCCCAAGGTGTTGTTTTCTCTGTGGTCAGCGTGGAACTAAAATTTTGGTATGTGTTGATGGTGAAACTGCAGGCTGTGAATGCAGAGTGAGGAGGGTGAGAGCTCAGTTCTGTGCCAGGAAAGTCATTCAAGCTGTGTGGGTTTGGCAGAGAAATGGTTTGATTTCATGCTTGGTGCCAAAGGCAGTGCCCTTGCTGTTCTGATCCTGGTTTCTCTGTCATGAAAGACAATGACAGTCCTCCCACAGTAACATTTTCCATAGTAAGTGTTTGTGTACGACCTCAATTCTTGTCTAGAACAGCCAATAAATTCTCTGTGAAATCTCCATTATCCATCTGTATCTCTGTGCAACACTGTGCTATAGAGCTCCTTCAGAGTTGTAATTACACTTTCTTTCCGGCATTTGTTTCCAGGGAGGTTGCAGCTCATTTTCTCAATTCTGTTCAGTACTTTTAAATAGGAAACATTGACTGGTGTTTTTCAGCACATCATTACTGCAGCTTTCTAGGAGAAAAATGTGCATGTGGGGAATAGGAAGCAGAAGCACTAAGAGAATCTATTGCAATTTGTCAGATTTACCTTGAGAAAGAGGCTGATGAGAAGCTGTTTGAAATGATGGTTTCATAACTGTGCAAGGTGAGCAGGCCGTGCAGTAGAAATTGTTGCTGAGTCGAGGACTATTCTCCAAATGAACCCCCTATCCTGCTGTGCTGTCTAAGTCTTTGTCCTGGATTAGGGCAAATCTGGGAGAAAACCTCCAAAGGGGGCCCCCCCAGAAAGCAAACCCACACGGCCCCTCACCCCTACTTGTTCGGGAAGGATTCCTCGGAGAGAAG